GAAAAAACAAGTACACTTTAATGATTATAGATTTGAGTATGGAATATTTTGCCTGATTTTTATTTCACTGCCTCTGTCGTGGGAGGCCTATCTGATGATTTGGGTAAGTATCGTGGGTGAATGTCTTTGTGTTTGCTCAGCAGAGAACAACAGTTGCAATATGTAAATAGGGTGCCTCTTCCCTTTGGATGCCTTGGGATATGTATAATAGATTAAGTTGGCTTTGTGCAGAGCAAACAGGTCTGTATTACCAAGAATATGAATAATGTCGGTTTCCATAATTGCTAACATCTGGCTTTCCATAAATCTGTTAAATTGCATGGAAGCAGAATTAGATTTCTGTGTCATAAGTAAGGCAATTACATGGAACTCTGTAGGCAATATGGTCCTATATTCAACTGTGAAATCCTTTCATTCTGGCAAAAGTAAATCCAGGTTTTGCACCCTGTTTTTATTGTGCACACTAGGTATGCTCATCTTTATGCTCAGGTTTCTTAATTTATGAGAGGAAAACACTGCCAGGATGTTTGTAACTTTGTAAATGCAAAATAACCAAATGTTAAAAAAGCTTATTATAGTTGGGCATTAATTGCCAATTCAGAGATTATCTTAGAGGAGATCATAAATTAAAGATCTTTTTTTTAGCTACTGGTTATGGATCTGTTGAAATTACTCTTCCAGACACTTTCTGAGTGATTTCTTAATGAGTCTTCCTCTGCCTGTGACCTCAAGCATTTGACAGGAAACTAAGGTGGAGAGAGAGGAGGGAAGATTGCCTTCCTATTTCAGTGTGGTTACTATTTTGCTGTATTTATTATACTTTGAACCAGACCAAGGGCTTTCCCATACTAAAACTCAAAAATAAAATGTGTTCCCTGAAGGGGAGGGTCGTGGTTATGCCTTATGCTTATTGAACACCCCAGAGACCAAATTTTGGTAAAGTAGTTTCTATAATAGTATCAGTCTGTAAATTTCCTGGATAAGTAAGCTAAATTAAGTAAATACATTGAACATCCACGGTGTATTCTGTTGTACTTGGCACTGAGAAGAGAAAAAGGAAAACATTTAGTCTCTGCCCTCCGTGAGCTTGCTATCTGTCTATAGAGGTGGGTATATGAAATTTGGAACTTCTGCGAGATGAATGCAAGGATAGCATGTGTATAAGGTAGAGAGAAAGCGAAACGTCAACAGTGACTGTCTTGCAGAATGAAGCATGGTGATGCTTGATCTTGATTTTGAAGAATGCATGGGAGTGAAGATAGCACAGGAAGGGAAGTGCTTAATTTATCAATTAATTAATTTATACTCCACCTCATTCCAAAAGCTAAGAAAAAGTATAGATGGAGAAGGGGAGAATACTCCCATAATGATAAAAGGCGTGTTCCAAGGCACAGAGAGAGGAAACAGCACGGTCTGTTTGTGTATCACTCATTGCTTTTGAACAGAAAGGGGAAGAGACAGAAGGGAAGAATTGAAGTGTTAGGCTGAGGTTTACCTGATATGCTAGGAGTTTGAACTTTTTATTACAAGCATCAGAGAACCCTTGAGAGGTGGTAAGCAGAGGAGTGACATGGATAGATTCGCTTTACAGAAGACCACTCCCCTGTGGAATGTGTTTAGAGCAGTGTTTCTCATCTGGCTGAACAGAGCCCAGATGTCTGGACCCTACTTTAATCTCTAGTGATGGTGAGCCTGGGCACCAGTATGTTTTAAAGGCTCCCCGAATGTTTCTATTGTGCCCACAATTGAAAATCACTGGATTAAAGTGAGAAGTGCCTGCAGTCAGGAGACCAAATAGGAGGCTAATGCAATAGTCCTGGTGATAAGTATGAAAATCTAAGCTACTCCAGTTTGACAAAATCTGATTTTTATTTTTTATGATTACATATGTGATGAGCATCTGTCTCTCTGTCAATTGACTATCTATATCTCCTAGACATACAAACTAGATTATAAACATGATGAGAGAAGAGTAAGACTGAATATTTTAATTGTTACTTTCAGCCAAAACTGGGGAGTGAGAATAATACAAATGTATCCCTTTAGTATTGTTCCAAGGTAGTATCTGCCTGAATACTAAGCCACCTACGACCAACTGGCATTGCAGTGGGAGTGCAGGGGATGTGAATGATTACTATGAATTGGCGTTATATTGGGAGACGCTTAACTGAGGAGGTAGGGCTTGAACTTTGTCTTAAATATTCGCATTCATTAAATCAAGAAACATATTTATTGAGTCATTATATTACTTACATTTTTATTTTCAAAAGACATAGATTAGGTGGGTTTGGTTTTATACACGAGATAAATGAGGGTCAGAGAGGCTAAATAATGTGACCAAGAACATACAGTGTGATGTATAAAATGACCGGTACGTAGTAAGCACTCAATTAAATGGAAGAGCTTGGTTTCAAACACGGGTCACCTGACTCCCACATTCAATGCTGCTTTTAGTCGGGAAGATTTAGAGTAGAGGAAGAGGACTGGGGAAATGAGAGAGGTTTCTAGGCAAGAGCACCATATGTCAGATGCATTGAGAATGATATGAGCATGACCAGGAACGGTGAGGAGCTATAGTGAAGTCCGATTGTAGTTGACTTGGAATCTAGGCTTCATATTTTGGGATCATTTCCACAGTTTTCACAGGAGGAATCATTATTCATTAACTAAATGTCTTGATTGAGGCTACAACAGGTGGGGCAAAGACAAAAAGTAAATCTTGGAATGAATTAGTTTCTAGAAATGTTGTTGGAATTCCTTAACATCTTCTACTTTGTACTGCTGCTGTGAACCCAAGTTTTATACCAATACAGTGCATGCAGTGAGTAAGGGAAAACATTATTTTTAAGTGACAGTAGTTTCAAAATTCTAGCCCACTTTAAGTAATTGTATCAATCTCAGAATTTCAACTAAAAATACTAAAGAGGATCTATATAATATCTTATTCTTGACAATAAGTTGCAGTGTCTAGAGGGTAAATAGTTGAAAGCTGATAAGACCACAGAACAATCTGGTATGCTGAAAGATGACTTTAGACTTGAATTGGCACAGTTTGGTGGAAAAAAGTCTAGTGCATCTGTCAGAAGGCCCAGGACACCATCTGTCATCTAACGTGTACTAGTTTCTTGATCGCTTAACATCTCCGTACCTTAGTTTCTTCTTTAGGAAAATGAGAATAACTATTTCTGTCTTGCAATTATATAGCATAACTTATCAAAAAGAGCTTTGAACAACTTTGAAACAATATATATAAATAAGTAGTAGCAGTAAAATTGATATTATGCCTTTGGGCACTTTAGGGGAAAATGCCACTAACAATTATGTTGTTTTTTTTTGTTTTTTTGGGGTTTTTTTTGTGAGGAAGATCAGCCCTGAGCTAACATCCATGCCAATCCTCCTCTTTTCTTGCTGAGAAAGACTGGCCCTGAGCTAACATCTATCACCAATCCTCCTCCCCTTCTTTTTTCCCCAAAGCCCCAGTAGACAGTTGTATGACATAGTTGCACATCCTTCTAGTTGCTGTATGTGGGACGCCTCCTCAGCATGGCCAGACAATCAGTGCGCCAGGGCGTGTCCAGGATCTGAACCCCGGGCCGCCAGTAGCAGAGCATGTGCATTCAACCGCTAAGCCATGAGGCCGGCCCCTTTTTTTAATTTAGTTTCACAGTCCTTAACCAAATGCCTATAACCTTATACATATTTAACAAGAAATTTAGAATGTAGAATAAGTTAATTTACACTATCTTATTCTAACTTACTATAGGAGTCAAGCCTACCAATAGTTTATATACTCCTGTGTTCTTCCTTATCATCTTTATGAGGACGGTGTCTTACATGTCATTGTCAACATTTATAGCACCAGTGTGCAAAGAACCTTGTGCATAGCAGACTTTTGGTAAAAATTTATTAGAATCAATGTTGTCACCTGAAGGATATTTGAAGGGTATGGCAATACGTTAATCGCTGGAGTAGAAGACTCTGATAGACAAATGACCAGTGTCTTCAAATAGCCTAAAGATTGTCATAAATAAGAAAAATCAAGTAGACTTTTCTTGAGTGGTCTGAGAACTACTAGCAAAAAGTAGATGTTACTGGATACTACATTTCATTTCAATTTAAGGAAGACATTTCTAAAAGCGTTTTTCAATGATGGAATTGGTTGCCTTGTGAGGTAACAGATTGCCCACTGGGAAAGGGCTCAAACCAGGCCCAGACAGCTATGTGTTTGAGATGTTTTTAAGGTCACTCAAGCTTTGAATGTCAGAGAGGGCTGACTGGATTTATGTTTTCCTTCCATACTTGGCTGTCAATGAAAAACAGCAAAATATATGTGTGTCTTTCATCATCATCCATGCCATACCCATACTGTAGCTCCGAGGTGTTTTCTTGTGTTGGCAAAAATGCTGCTGCCCATTAGGGTGGTGAGGCTTTGATTAGGCAAGGCACCTACCGAGAATTATTCCCTCTTCTTTCACCCTTGGCCCCAGGATCTGGGGACAGTCTAATTGGCTCGGGGTTGCCCTGATTACTCACTTGTTCCTACTCAGTGGCTAGTCTACTCACACCTTTCTAAAAGTCCCAGATCTCCACAGGGTGTATCCACAGTGTTAATGAGTTACCAGTGTTTATGGCTTCTGGATGGTATAGTCTTGAGAATATCCTAAAACCACTTCAGACCTGCTCCTGGATAATTTAATAAGTGGAGTCCGACAGCTGTGGGTTTGAGTCTCAGACCTGCCACTTGTTAGCTATATGACGGAGGGCTTGTTACTTAACTTCTATGAGCCTCTGCTCCATTATTTGCAAAACAGAGATAAGAACACATCCTCCTCCCCAGAACTGCCTTGCAGAGTGAATGAGATAATGCATGTGAACAGCTTGGCACAGTACCTGGCACAAGGTAAATGTTCAGTAATGTTAATTAGTGCTATTGTAAATGATTATTATTTTCTAATAATAATCTTGGCTAGATTCTAAAGCTTTGTGCTTTTTTATTGCAGACATTGATGAATGTGCCTTAAGAACTCATACCTGTTGGAATGATTCTGCCTGCATCAACCTGGCAGGGGGCTTCGACTGCCTGTGTCCCTCGGGGCCCTCCTGCTCTGGTGACTGCCCCCATGAAGGAGAACTGAAGCACAATGGGCAGGTGTGGACCCTGAAAGAAGACAGGTGTTCTGTCTGCTCCTGCAAGGTGAGGCTGATGTGGTGCAGCAGAAATTCTAATGATGCTGCTGGGTGGCAGACAAACCTGCCTTTAGTGAAAAGCAAGGTATGGGGTTGAGAAGAGACTGCAGAGCACAGGGCGGACAGGGCAGAGAAGCCAGTGTTAGTCCTCCCACTGGGAGACTGCAGTGCCTTTAAGATGAGTTGGGTGAGAGCTTTAATGAGCCCTCATCCCGCACTTTTACAAACTTGCTGATTAAACCTACGCTTTGCCTGAAATGATCACCTACATGAACTTGCTTACTTTTGTGGAGACATCCAGAAAAACCAGGCTCAGAGACTTGCTTCCAGTGGTCAGAGACAGGTGGACTTCCATTCTGAACAAATGATAATAACAGTTCGAGACTTTCTGGTAAATAATGTCTTCTTTGTCGTTCTCAGTGCTGGGCTATTCCTTACATTAAGCGTTTGGAAGTGAGTTGAATGCTTTATGAAAATAAACTTCTGTCATCGACTGGTTTTGCTTTATGCTTTGCAAAATGGGCCTATTAAAGTGTTTGATTTCCTTGTGCTCTATTTCTTCTTTTGTTGACCTTGCCTATTCATTTTCCTTTGGTATTGCTTTACTGTAGCTCTTGCATTGTATTTTTATGTCCATTGGATTGGAGCTGTTTAATCTTGGGCTTTATGGGCAGGGGAACCGCAAGAAATTATTTGCTCAGTAGCCTCTGAGAGAGCTAGTCTCCTGACAAATTGAATGATCCCTAGAAAAAGAGTTGAAATGAACTTTGAAAAGTCGTCCAGTTCATCTACCTGCCTTCAATTCTGCCACACCTCCAGCAGACCTGGGGCACCTCTTGGGAGAGTTACATCACCAAGTGTTTAGATCATGACCCCTTAATGCCCGTGTTTTCCCTTATACATAAACTAGTTCCACACATCCAAACTTAGGTCCATTGCCCCCATTTATTGAGCACCTCTTGTGTTCTAAGCACCCTGTAATTTAAAAACAGCATCACATTTAATATAGCACAACTTTGAAAGATGAAGACATGGAGTTTCTAAGTTTTAGGGCAAGTGATGTACTCTAAATATCACAAGATATGAATGTCTCAGCTGGGTCTTGAATTGCACTTGCTTCCACAAATTTCATGGTCTCTCATCTTGACATATGTCCTGTAACACTCTACAGATGCTATCTGTTGATATATGTAAATGCAATGAAGCAATCAGTCCATTCAGCTTGACTGAGCTCAAACTCTCAACTCAGTACTATGTTACTGACTGCGTAGGACATTCCCCAAAGAAGTTTTCAGGTTAAGTACAACATTTAACCATGTGGCATTCACTCAAAGGGCAAAAGTTTTTTTTTTTTTTTTTTATTGAGGTGAAATTGGTATATAACATGTTTCAGGTGTACAATATTATAATTCTTCATCTGTATACACTACAAAGTGATCACCACCACAAGTCTAGTTACCATCCATCACCATTCAATTGATCTCCTTACACATTTCGCCCACCCCCCAACCTCCTTCTGCTCTGGTAATCACCAATCTGTTCTGTATCTATGAGTTGATTTTGTTTGTTCATTTGTTTTGCTTTTCTGAGATCCACATAAGAGTGAAATCACACAGTATTTGTCTTTTTCCTTCTGACTTATTTCACTTAGCGTAATACCCTCAAGGTTCATCCATGTTGTTGCAAATGGCAAGATTGCATTCTTTTTTATGGCCGAGTAGTATTCCATTATATATATATATACATATACACATACACACACACACACACACACACACACACACCCCTTCTTTATCCATCCATCCATCGATTCATCCATCGACACTTAGACTGCTTCCATACTTCGGCTATTGTAAATAATGCTGCAATGAACATAGAGGTGCATATACCTTTTCAAATTAGTGTTTTTGTATTCAAATAAATACCCAGAAGTGGAATAACTGGACCATATGGTAGTTCTAACTTTTTGAGGAATGTCCATACTGTTTTTCATAGTGGCTGCACCAATTTACACTCCCACCAACAGTGTATGAGGGTTCTCTTTTCTCCATATCCTCTCCAACACTTATGTCTTATCTTTTTGGTAATAGCCATTCTGACAGGCATGCAGTGATATCTTATTCTGCTTTTGATTTGCATTTCACTAATAATTCATGATGTTGAACATCTTTTCACATGCCTTTTGGCCATCTGTATGTCTTCTTTTGAAAAATATCTATTCAGGTCCTTTGCCCATTTTTTAATCAGGTTATTTATTTTTTTGTTGTTGAGTTGTATGAGTTCTTAATATATATTGGATATTAACTTCTCATTGGATATATGTTTTGCAAATAACTTCTCTCATTTAGAAGGTTGCATTTTCATTTTGATGATGGTTTCCTTCACTGTCAGAAGCTTTTTAATTTGATACAGTCCCATCTGTTAATTTTTGATTTTGTTTTCCTTGCCTTTAGAATCAGAGCCCACAAAGATATTGCTAAGATCAATGTCAAAGAGCTTACCACTTAGGTTTTCTCCTAGGAATTTTATTGTTTCAGGTCTTATATTCGAGTCCTTACTCCATTTTGAGTTAAGTTTTGTGTATGGTATAAGATAGTGGTCTAGTTTCATTCTTTTGCATGTGGCTGTGCAGTTTTCCCAACACCATTTATTGAAGAGACTTTTATTTCCCCCATTGTATGTTCTTGGCTCCTTTGTAGTACATTAATTGTCCATATATGTGTGGGTTTAATTCTCGGCTCTCAATTTTGTTCCATTGATCTGCATGTGTGTCTTTTTTTTTTTTTTTTGCCAATACCATACTGTTTTGATTACTATAGCTTTGTAGTATAGTTTGAAATCAGGCAGCATGCTACCTTAAGCTTTGTTCTTTTTTCTCAAGATCACTTTGGCTATTCGGGATATTTCATGGCTCCATATAAATTTGAGAATTATTTGTTCTAGTTCTGTGAAAAATGCCATTGTAATTTTGATAGGGATTGCATTGAATCTGTGGATTGCTTTGACTAATATGGACATTTTAACTATATTAATTCTTCCAATCCATGAGCACGGAATATCTTTCCATTTATCGTTCTTCTTCAATTTCTTTCTGCAGCATCTTATAGTTTTCAGAGTACAGGTCTTTCACTTCCTTGGTTAAATTTATTCCTAGGTATTTTATTCTTTTTGATGCAATTGTAAGTAGAATTCTTTTCTTTGTTTCTCTTTCTGATAATTCATTATTAGTGTATAGAAATGTCACAGATTTCTGTATATTGATTTTGTATCCTGCTACATTACTGAATTCATTTATTCTAAGAATTTTTTGGTGGAGTTTTTTGGGTTTTCTCTGTATAGTATCATGTCATCTGCAAATAGTAACAGTTTCACTTCTTCCCTTCTGATTTGGATGCTTTTTATTTCTTTTTCTTGCCTAATCACTGTGGCTAGGACTTACACTACTATGTCGAATAAAAGTGGTGAGAGTGGGCATCTTTGTCTTGTTTCTGATCTTAGAGGAAAAGCATTCAGCTTTTCACCACTGAGTATGATGTCAGCTGTGGGTCTGTCATACATGGCTTTTAGTATGTTTAGGTATGTTTCTTCTATACCCACTTTGTTGAAAGTTTTTATCATAAAGGGATATTGAATTTTCTCAAATACTTTTTATGCATCTATTGAGATGATTATATGACCTTTATTCTTCATTTTGTTAATGTGGTGTATTATGTTGATTGATTTATGGATGTTGAACCAATCTTGCATCCCTGGAATAAATACTACTTAGTCATGGTGTATGATCCTTTTAATGTATTGTTGAATTTGGTTTGCTAATATTTTGTTGATGGTTTTTGTATCTATGTTCATCGATGATATTGGCCTGTGATTTTCCTTTTTTGTGGTGTCCTTATCTGGTTTTGGTATCAGGGTAATACTAGCCTCATAAAATGAATTTCAAAGTTTTCCCTCCTCTTCAAATTCTGGAAGAGTTTGAGAAGAATAGTTATTTTTTTTTATTTATTTATGTATTTTTTTTGTGAGAAAGATCCATGCTAACATGGATCCTGAGCTAACATCCATGCTAATCCTCCTCTTTTTGCTGAGGAAGACCAGCTCTGAGCTAACATCTATTCCCAATCCTCCTCTTTTTTTCTCCCCAAATCCCCAGTAGATAGTTGTATGTCATAGTTGCACATCCTTCTAGTTGCCATATGTGGGACGTGGCCTCAGCATGGCCGGAGAAGCGGTGTGTCGGTGCGCGCCTGGGATCTGAACCCTGGGCCACCAGTAGAGGAGAGTGAACATTTAACCACTAAGCCACAGGGCCGGCCCCGAGAAGAATAGTTATTAAATATTCTTTGAATGTTTCGGTGAATTCACCAGTGTATCCAGCTACTCCTTGACTTATGTTTCTTGGAAGTTTTTTTTTTTTTTTGAGATCATATTGGCTTATAACATTGTGTAAATTTCAGGTGTACATTATCATATTTCAGCTTCTGTATAGACTGCATTGTGTTCACCACCAATAATATGGTTTTCATGTGTCACCATATATATGTGTCCCTTTACCCCTTTTGCCTTCCCCCTACCCCTTCCCCTCTGGTAATAACTAATCTGTTCTCCTTATCCATGTGCTTATCTTCCACATGTTAAGTGAAGTCATATGGTGTTTGTCTTCCTCTGTCTGGCTTATTTCACTTAGGATACTACCCTCAACATCCATCCATGTTGTTACAAATGGCAAAATTTTGTCATTTTTATGGCTGAATAGTATTCCGTCGTATATATATACCACACCTTCTGTATCCATTCATCCGTTGATGGGCATTTGGGTTGCTTCCACTTCTTGGCTATTGTGAATAATGCTGCAATGAACATAGGGGTGCCATGTTCTTTGTTACAATCTCTTTGTATTGTTGATTTCATGTTCTTTGTTTCAATATCCAATAGTGGGATAGCTGGATCTTGTGTTATTCCTATTTTAAATTTTTTCAGAAATCTCCAGATTGTTTTACATATTGGCTG